TGAAACTACCAGTTCTTGGGTCACATCCTCAACCAAAAAAAAAAAAAAAACAGACATTCTGGAGGTGGGACCTGGCATCAGGTTTGAAGACCTCTCCAGATGATTCTAATATGCAGCCATCAGCATTAAGAACTGCTGCCTGGAGTAAAAACTCACCATCAGCCAATCTGGGCACTTAATAAATGCCAACACCCGGAGTCATAAACTCCAGAACCCTTTCCAGCTTGTAAAAGTACAACTCTATGCCCATTAAACACTATCTCCTCGTTCCCTTTCCCCCAGCCCCCAGCAACCACCATTCTATTTTCTGTCTCTATGAATGGGACCACTCTCAGTACCTTACAGAAGTGGAATCACAAAGTAATTGTCTTTTTGTGACTGGCTTATTTCACTTAGCATGATGTCCTCAAGGTCCATCCATGTTGTAGCCTGTATCAAGATTTCCTTCCTTTTTAAGGCTGAATCGTATGTTGTCCATGTATACCACACTGTTGACCCCTTCATCCATCAACGGACACTTAGGTTACTTCTACCTTTTGGCTGTTGTGAATAAATGCAGCTATGAACAGGGGTGTAGAGATATCTCTTCAAGACTCTGCTTTCAATTCATTTGGGTCTAGACCCAGAAGTAGAATTGCTAGGTCATAAGGTATTGCTATTTTTAATTTTTTGAGGAAACGCCATACTATTTTCCATAGTGGCTATAACATAAAGAGTTTTTAACAATAATAGCCAATACTTTCATGATACTGTTAAGTGAAAAAAGTAAGCTCTAACATATATATGGTAAAGCTGCAACAATGTTAAAAAAAAAAAGGCACAGGAGAAAAGATGAAGTGAGTATATACAGAAAACTGTGAACTAACAAGTGGCTTCCACTGGATGTTGGTAAGAGCAGACTGACATTCTCTTCTTTTCCAAATTTCATACTTGCCTAACTTTCTAAGATAGGCATACACTACGCTGACGACTGAGGGAAAAAAAAGTGAAAAAAAATTTAGTAGGGCACATTTTTCTTCCTGGTCATCACATCATCCATTGCACTTAGCCTGATGGTTCACTGCGTTCACCGCCTTTATCTGAAGGAAAACACACACACGCACTTCTTCCTTTTATAACCAAACTGATTTCTGAAAAATTTTAAGCCCAATATAATAATAATTCCAACTCTCGATCAAAATAATAAGTCTTTTCTCCCCTGAGGGCTCCTTGACAGGGCTTTCAAAAAGTCCTTCCCATTTAGGCAGGGCCTGTGGTCCAGCTGGGGCAGCAGAGCTGGAACCGGCCGTCAGCCGGGGAGCCGGGGTGCTGCTGAGCGCCCTCATGGGGTGCCTGAGGCCAACCTCTCCACACCCGCCACCTGCCTCATGTGCGCTCCGCTTGTGGCCTGGGTCGGCTTCGTTTTCCTTCAGTAGCTGCTGAACTGTCCTCACACCATGAGAGAAGACACTGACCTGGACCGAGGAGGGAGGGATGGAGGCAAAAGGGGAAGGAAGGAACGTGAAGGATTAACGAGCTGATTTCCATAAAGGCTTTGACATCTTGGAATGAAAAGCGGCCTGTAAGAGCAGAAGCCCAGGCCTCTACTCAGGCCATGTTGCCAGCTGGCTGTTCATCACCAAAAATTCCCCAACAGTTCCATGGCTATTGCTTAACCACCTCATATAAATCCCAATTAATCTTGCAAAGTCAAAACATAAATATATGACAAAAGTCTTTATTTTATGTGCCCTCAATTTCAGGGTCAAAATTTACAAAACCGAATTGGTTATCCAGTGGCTCCGATGAACATTTTTTTTTTAAACCTTCTTTGGGAATAAAAAGACAAATAAATGACACACCTCACTAATCTGTATGTACTTATTGGACTGAATGAACTCAGGCTAATGATCAAATAAATTGTAGAAGAAAAAAGATGTCGGTGCTAAAATTTAAACTACCTTTTCTTTTTTTTTGGCAGTAACATTAATGTTTCATAGCTTATACTCAAAAGATACAGAAAATCCTTAGTAGGCACAAAGGAACATTTATTTGTCTTTCATATGTAAATTACTAGGGACATAAAAGAGCCTCTTGAGCAGTGGAACTGGGAGTACTCCACATTGCAATGTCTTTAATGGGAAAGGCAGGTGATAATGTGAACACAGCGGTCGGCTTCGAGAAGGGCCCATTAGGACCCAGAATGGGCTCATGTGAGCATGGAGGTATTAGTGCAGACACTCACCTCCCAGGGCAACAACCTCAAAGGACCTCAGGGACCAGGCAGGTGTGTCTCACAGGACAGGCTGAAGCTTCATCATTTATATTCAGTGCTTTCCTTTCCTATTCAGGAACCTCAAGGTTATCATGTCAATGATGTGGGTAATAGAGACAAACTAATATGTGGCTTTGGAATGGATGGCCCTCCGGCAGTGTGTTTTCCTCCCAAACTTTATTTCAGGCTCTGAACACATCCTGATTAATATAGTAAAAGTGCCTTGGGAGTAAGAGGAAGCCTGGTGTTAGGAACCACCTATAGACCACCCACAAAGTATAAAGTTCACACTTGGATCATAAAGAGTCGACTGTACTGGAAACATAAAAATGGCTTTCCTGGACTCTCGGCAAGGAAGGTGGAAACACAGTGAATTGCAGTGATTCATGCTTTTGTTTTCTAGGGCTGAAAAATCATGGAGAAAAATCAGAGAAGGTGTGTGTGTGTTGGGGGGTGGTGGTGGTGATGCTGAAAGCCTAATTGAAAAGTTGCAATAGGGACCAGAAGGAAAGTTAAAAGAGGACAGGAGGACCTCTCCAGCTGAAGAAGAGGCTGATGGCACTTGGTCATCCATCTTTAGGCACTGACTGCAGAGCATGAAGGTCCATTCAGACGGCTGGCTGTGACACCATCTCCTCCTTTCCATCCAACAAGAAGGAGTGGGCTCAGGAAGCCGGCAGATGATGACTTTCTCTGAAACCCATGAAAGGGCAGCAGGCTAAGGGGGCAGAAACACCTTTATAGCACTTGCAGAACAGGAAATTTAGGATTCTGTCTTGGGGCGGGCCTGGCTGGAAGCAGAGATTTCAATAGGATGGTTCCTGGAGAGTCCTGACTTCCTGATCCCTAGACACAACAGCTGGGAAGACCTGGCCTGCTACTGACAAACAGATGAGAGCACACGTGTGACCACAATTCCCTATTCTCCCAAGAAAGGCAGCTTACGGGAGTTATCTAAAAGCCACACAGAAGGCAAATATTACTAGGCTCAGAGAAGCAGTTTATGGTCAGTCAACTCCTGCTCTCTACATAAGAGAGAGAAAACACAAACTGGTCTAAAAATGAGAGTTAACCATCACTTTACTGGCATTTCAGACATAAGAGAATTTCCCCATCAGTATCCCCGCCCAGAGCTAGAGGTGCTTAGACAAGACATGGAGACTCAAACATACACACACCGAGAAATCCTTCAATGGCTCCCTTTCACCAAGAGGTTTCCTTGAGGAGCTTTCACTGTGTGGCCACCTTGGATTTCCACAGCCTCATGTACCTTCTACAAGGTTCCAGAAGAGCTAACTTCTTTACCGCTCTCCATACTCGCCATGCCATTTCACACAGCCATGTCCTTGCCACTGACATGACCAGCACCCAGAATGCTCTCCCTGCCCTGGCTGCTCGCTGAAATGCCACTCATCTCTCTGTCTCTCTCTCTCTCTCTCTTTTTTTTAAAGATTTTATTTACTTATTTGACAGAGAGACAGAGACAGCGAGAGAGGGAACACAAGCAGTGGGAGTGGGAGAGGGAGAAGCAGGTTTCCTGCCGAGCAGGGAGCTCAATGTGGGGCTCGATCCCAGGACCCTGGGATCATGACCTGAGCTGAAGGCAGACGCTTAACGACTGAGCCAGCCACCCAGGTGCCCCGAAATGCTATTCATCTCTTGATGGCTCTTCCCTGCCCCTCCTCTGGGCTACTCCTGTGCTTACTACACACATTTGTTATTTCCCTTGCCATATGCGGTGGAAATCACCTTTTCACACATCTTTCTCACCTCCTGGATATGAGTTCCTTGAAGCCAGAGCTCTATCTCTATCTTTGAATCCCTTCCACCTCCTAACACAAAGGTCAGCTTGCAGCCCGTGTTCAACAAGACTTTGTTGTATTACAGTGACTTGCGGGCCTGTGCTGCCTGTTTCCTGCCTTCCTACATGAGGTGGAGAACCAACAAAAGCGAACGCAAGTACATTTTTTTGACAAACGAAAAGGCTGCTATGTTAGGAAACCCATACACTGATTTCTAATCGAACGCAAGATACTCTGGCATGGAATGTGGTAGCCTGTGGGGCTCTACTGGACCTCTTGTGCTGGAACTTAGAGGACAGACTGGGGGGCCCTTGCAGTAATACTGTCCTACCAATATCAGAGACTTGCAACATGGATTTTGAACACACTGTTACAGAGAGGACTCCCTATGTACTGAATGAGAGATTCTTTTTATTCCATAGCATAGTTCACATAGCAAATGTCCTAAGTTCTAGAATAAGTGAACAATGGCCAGAATGAAAAAATAAATGTATCCACCCTCCTGTGCTTTCATTATTCAAGCTATTCTACTGCCTACCTAAAAAGGGAGCAACTTGCACGTCTCTTTCTTATTCACACCCTACCGGTCTCTCTGTGCCTGTTCACGTCTTACCCCAATCTCTAATTGCCGTGTGGCACCTAAGAGTTTGTACCACATCTGGCACAGGGCTGGGCACATGGCAGGTATTAATAAAAACAAGCTGACTGGTGGACCGATAAAAAGCCATATTACATGCCCCCTAGCCATACAGCAGTTTCAGAAAAATTGTCAAGAAAATATTTTTCTTTCTTACCACAACCCAAAGTTCTAAAAAGATAAATACTCCAATAAGTTTAGAAAACGCATGCCAATGACTTTTAAAACTCCCACAATTAGAAACAGCCATTCTCCAATGTATTCCTAACCCCTGATAACTCCTTGCTCATGTGGGGTTTTAACATACCTCTCGGCCAGCCAGAGTTTGGCTCTGGTACAAACAGCAACGTCAGCCAGCAGCTGCTGAAAGTATGCATTCAGTCTGTATTTGGAGTCTGTGCAGGCTTGTAACAAATGAAAAACCTAAACCAGAAAAGAGAAAAAAGCAATATCCTGCTGTGAAAATATATTTTTCCTCAATGTTCAGTTCTTCCCTGTTAGGTTTCCTCAAAATACTCCCCTCAAAGAAAACAGACACCTGTAGAATGTGGCTCTGGTCTCCACGCAGGAAGCAAGCTGGTTTTGGGAGGACGCAGCAAGGGACAAGAAACCTGTGCCCTTGATCCCTACCTCTGCTCTGGGTCCCCTGCACAATTCCAAACAAGAGTGACTGACTACTCAGTGACCGAACACTCATTTGATACAAGAGCTTAGTCGTTACAACAGCCAAGAAAATGATTTTAGCAAAGAAAGGCAAACATCTTGCTCTAGGTGAGCAGTCTCATACGAAAAAAAAATGTACCTTTTCAAGTCAAAGTCTTACTGCAGAGGAAAAATCAGCTGTCTCAGAGTCCAAATTGGTTTGTGTGTTGGGTTTATCAGAACCGTCTTGGCCAAAGCAGCAGGCCACGATGATGTCTGCCTTTGCAAACACGGGACAGTGATATTTGTAAACGATCTCAATTTTTTTCGCAGTTCCCCACTGAGACGTGCGGAAGCAGCCAGAGACAACCTATTCTCATGCTGACATGACATTATGTATGAGAATTGAGCAGAGAAAGATAAATCCTCTAGTTGCCTCTATTTAGAATGAAGGCCACAGATCCAGCAGACACACGACCGCGCGCGCCTGTATGTGTGTGTGGGGGTGTGGGGGTGTGCGCGTGCGTGTGTGCGGCTCATGTGAGCATGTCGTGAATTCACACTCCGTGATGACACCAACACCACTCTGTGAGGAGTATAAACCTGCAGCGGAGAGAGAGGACTAAGGCACAGATGAGATCCTCTGACCTTAGCCGGTGCCAAGGAGTACGAAGAGGCATGGCAGAGAGCTCCTGCAGTCTCATCGCAATCAGGCGGAGACGGTGGGTGGAGCAAAGCTCATACACATAAACACACTGAGAACTTGGAAAGTCCATTTTAATAATCAGTTTGGTTCCCTCCCCTACTGTATCCTTCGCCAGAGCTACGACGAAGGACTTTCAAAGCGACAAGACTCAACTTTTTCCTCTCCTCCTCTCCTGCCGATGAGGAGCCTAAGTGAGAGTTAAACAGGGAAGCGAATAAGGACAAAAAGCAGGAGGCCAAGATAAAAGAGACCCAGAATCATCAGAGCCTGAACTCGGAAATGAGCTAGCAGTCTTCCTGGGTCAGACATCTGCAGTTACCAACAACAAATATATCCGGAGCACCTCTGTTTAGAGAATTTAAAAAAAAAATTGTGATTATTATATGTAACTGTTATTATTATTATTATTTATTTATTTTTTTGGGGGGGGGTCTAAACAGACATAATTGTATAGGAGACTGCACACAAGTCCCGATGTGGAGACTGAAAATGCTTTCTCTAATAATGGATCTGTTATTCCAGAGGCAACAGATCAAGTATCACTACTTCACCACACCCCTGCAGGGACCCACACCGCAGGTCGTGAAGTCTGGAGAAATGGGTCTGGCTGGGGCTTCTGTTCTTATGTGGTGACTGCCAGAGTGAAAAAACACACCTCCCTCTGCTTGAATCCCCGATACCCTGAAAGAGTTGTCAAAGTCACTGGGCATTGCTTTACTTCTCTCCACAGCTGCAAAAAACCAACCACCAGGGCTTTTCATGGTGTCACAGGATCGTAATTAATCAGCAGACACCAGCAAAATACATGAGCGTGGAATTTACTTGCAAAGAAAGCTGTGAGATTTTCAAATGCCTCTCATTTAGAAGCAACCACCTCAAAAATAACTCCTGATGGATGTTTAAACTTAGTCCTATATTTGCTCACCTTACTTGGCAAAAACAAGGCTGTTTTTGAAACGCCTGGTGGCTCTGGTTTATGAAAATCAACCTCCAGGTCCATCAATTCTGTCACCTTGGGCACAACCCAGACAACAATTGTGATCCTGGTTATTCACCAGGAACAGAGAGCGATCTATTTACATGGGACAACTGCAGAGGGAGGTACACTTATGAGAACCATGGTGGAAAGAAACATAGAGGAGAGACAGAGCGAGAGACGTGAAAGACAGGGTCACAGAAGGCAAGGGAAAACCGGGCAGGGAAGGGGAAGAAGGGGAAAAGACGGGGGTGGGGGGGAGGAAAGAAAAGTTTTGTAAGCCCATGTCTGAAACAAGTGAGTGTGTTTGAGATCATTTCTTTTTTGAGAAAATTAATGACTATATTTGAATACACGGCTACCTTCCCATGACATTTAGAGGGTCTGTTTTAATTTGTCCAAGAAAAATGAGGCCATCCTTTGGTGTGAAGTCCAGAGGTGGGGCCAGGCCTCTGGAACTACGATCCAAGGTCAGGTCCAGGAGCACCAGGCAGCCAGCTTCCAGGAAGGGTCATTTGTCCATCAGCTTGGAAAAGACGGCGGGGACAAGGCAGTTCCTCCTCCTTTCCCCCTTCTCCGAAAGTTCTGGTCCAGGAGAACCTCTGGGCTAGGAGTGTGGTCTAGGCCAGGCCTGGGATAATTTGCAAACAGCCTGTAATACAGGACTGCACTGAACCAAACAGAGAAACCGAAGCTGCGTGACCAACGGAATGCATGGGAGAGCTCCGAGAAGTGAAGTGTTACTTTAGGTCTCCCAGATTTGCAATAGGATTCAAATATTCAGTCCACAAATACTTACTAAACAACAATTACTACCAGGCGCTGTCCTAGGAGCCGTGGCACAGAACACAGGAGCGCCTGCTCCCCGCAGCTTACACTCTAGTCACGGAGAAGCGGAAAATCCACAGCTTCCCTGCCCCTGCCCGGTCTCGATTTAGAACCGGCGGGGCGGCATTGCCATCCCTGTCCTCTTATGTTGACCTCACCCTTGACCAAGCCCAGCACACAGCCGTAATGCAACGAGCATTTGCTGAATTGATTTTGCTTTGTGGTGCCTCTTCCTATACTGACTCTGCCTGTAGGACACATGCCCTTGGGTTTGGGGAGCTCCCGCAACCCCAGGTAAGGAGTGGGGACACAGGTGAACAGCACCGCACTCCTCTCTGCAGCAGGGAGAGGCCAGGTCAGTGGAGGGGATGCAGCCCTGCGGGAGGGGTGCACGCTTGGGAGCCAGGTGCATATGGGTGTAAACCCAGTTACTAGCCATGGGGCTTGGGGCAACTTATTTAACCTCTGCTTCCTCACGGTAAACAGTATATAACAGTCTCTGGCTTATAGGACTGTAGAGAGATTTAAAGGAATATATAGTACTTGGCACCCATTAGGCACCTGATAAAAATGTTAGTTCTCTTCCTTTTTCTGTCTGCCCCCTCCCTTTAGCCCCCATTCCAAAAATAAACATTCAGAGAAGGTTTTGCAGAAAAAATATTCCCATTTAACCCTTAAACAAATCTGGTCAGAATCTGGGGAAGACCATGCAAGCAGAGAAGAAACTGAATTATAAAAAAATGTTAAATGTTAAAAATGGCAACAGTATTGCCAACAAAAAGAATAAACCTTAATGTAAACTATGGACTTTAGTTAATAATGATGTGTCAATACTGGTTCATTAATTGTAACAAGCATACCACTCTAATGCAAGATATTAATAACAGGAGAAAACTGGGGAGGAAAGGAATATATGGGAACTCTCTGTACTACCTGCTTAGTTTTTCTGTAAATCTGTGATTATTCTTAAAAAATCCTATGAATGGAAAGAAAATATTAGGACTGCTCAGGGGACAGCAAGTAGCTGTGTGTGGCGACAGCACAGCCAGGGTGTGTGCAGGGTGGTAAGAGACACAGCTGCAAAGAGAGGCTGGGTTGGAATGAGGAGGATCAGCGCTCACATAATCAGATCTGTAATGTGGAAAGGAAAGGCCAAGACAGCGTGGAGGCTGGATAAGAGGGGGCAGGATGACCAAGACTGCTATCAGTCTAGACTACAGGTGGTCAGGGTCGAAGCCAGAAGCTGAAAGCCAAGGATGGCAATGGGCCCAAAGTGGCTGCAGATGTTTTCTTTGACCTGCACAGTATTTTTCAACCTGCCACTTACGAATTGGGAGATTTCACACCAAAATCATCCTGATTTCCAACTTCTTTTGAAAAATCAGAAGACCTGGGGACTGCGGGTCCACACTCCTGCGGGGCAACAGGCACCTGTGGGGGCGGGTTCACCATGGGGCTAAGGTGGAGTGTCAGCGTCATTTATCACTGCTTTCTTGCCTTTTTTTTTTTTTAAACTTTTGGAGAATCAAGAGGAAAATGAAGTATTTACTGAACCCAAATCTCTATCAAAAGTTTAGAAACAAAGGATTGGACCAAGAGGGAGGGCTGTGTGTTTCTAACAGTTTCCCTTCAGTCACTCATCTGCCCGGCGCTGGTAAGACTCTGATTTTGTGAGAGCCCCAATCTAGATGGTAAAAGGAGTGGAATGGAGAGGGAAAGGATACACTTGAGAGACATTTTAGAAGCTGAAGAAGCAGGATTTGGCAACTTGGTGTTTAGACGTGGAGTTGAAGGTCAGAAAAGAGCCTCTTCACTCAGGCAGCTGGTGATGGAAAGCCATCGTCCAAGACAGTGACCACAAGGGAATATGCAGGTTTGGGAATGAGGGAAGGGGACCTCAGGAGTTTGGTTAGGAACATCCATGTGATGATTGCTCTAGTCAGGGGTAATTTATCTTGCGTAGCAAGAATTCTTTTGGGAGTGAAAAGGAGCTCTATGAATGACCACCATGGGAGGAAGCAGGGCAGTGGGTTGCCTCTAGCTTCTACAGGCCCTTAAGAGAAAGACTAGAGTGGACTCAGAGGTGTCTTTGGCAAAAAAAGCAGCAGAAAGCTTTGCTGACTTAAGATGGTTGTGACCCGGTCAGAAAGAAAGCACATGCCAACCGTCAAGTGCACACCAGCAGCACCACCCAGGACTATTGCAGGCAATGGGACCACTAGGAGATGCCCTCAGCAGGGGAGGCCAGGCAGCAGTGGGGAGTGGGGTCAG